GCCAGGCAAGTCTAAGCACCTGCCTAGCAAGCATAAGGACCCGGGTTCAATCCCTGGTACCACAGCCATGCCGGCCCCACACCCTGGGTGCATCGTGCTGGCCACTGAAACCAGGCATGGTGGCACACACTTGTAATCCCAGTGCTGGGGAGGCTGAGACAGGAGGATCACTATGAGTCTGAACCATGTAGTGAGACCATGTACCAAACAAAGATTTTTTTTTAAGTTTTTTAAAAACATACTTCAATACCATTATTTACAGTAGCCAAAAGGTAGAAATAACTCGTCTGTCAACATATAACTGGATAAGTAGCATGTGATTCATATGTACAGTAGATTACTCAGGCACAAAAATAATGCAGTTCTGATACATGCTACAAAGTGGATGAACCTTGAAAACTTATTTCATTGTCAAACAAGCCAGTGAGTCACAAAAATAATGTGTGAATCACCTTTATGTGGTCCTGAGAATATGCAAATTCACAGAAACAGAAGAACAAATGTTACCAAGGACTGAGCAGCCTGGGAAGGAGAGATAAGTTACTTTATACAGAGTCTTTGTTGGGATGGTGGGAAAGTCCTAGGAATATATAGTGGTGAGTATTGTACAATATTGTGAGTGTACGAATACTAAATGCCACTTAAAATAGAAAATTTCCAAGTGTCTTCTACTTGTTGGTTTGGTTCATTTCACTCTGGTAGAGACAGGAGTGCCCTGTATTGCCCGGGCTGGCCTCAGACACCTTCACCTAAGTGATCCTCTCACCTCAGCTTCCCATGTCTCTAGGATTCCAGGCACACACCACCACACCAAGCTGTGCTGAGTGTTTCCTTAAGTGGGGAAGGAGCCAGATTATGACTGTGGTCTCATAAACATGTATGACACCAGGGTTCCAAAAGTGAGTCCATCACAGTGTTCACTGTAGAAGTGGACCCTATGTGCTTGGCTGCAGATAGGGAGCCTCAACAGAGAAGGCTTTCCAGAGGGGGATTCATTGTCTGTTGTGACTTAGACTGAGTGAGTGTGAAGTACTACCACAGGGAATTGTGAATAGCTGTGTCCTTCCAGTTCCTTGCATCAGGGAATGACAGGGTGATCTATAATAGCAGAATCTTGGTATCGTATCATGTGATTGTGTTATTTTGTATTAGGAAATACCGTGATTCAGAAGGATTTGATGAATTTTGTTTGGTTGTTTTTTGTGTTTTGGTGGGAGATTTGAGTTGTGTTTCATCTTGTTTTGCTTTGCTGTGCTTTGTTGTCCTGTGCTTTGCTCTGCTGTGCAACAGGATTTTGCTATACAGCCCAGGCTGGCCTCAAACTTATGGTATGTCTAAACAGAGTTATGTTGATTGCTGTTAAAACTGTATGATAGGCTGGGGAAATATCCTCAGCGGTCTAAGCACCTGTCTGGCAAACACAAGGACCCAGATTCGATCCTGTGTGCCACATGCCAGGCCGGGCATGGTGGCACACACCTGTGATCACAGTGCTTGAGAGACTGAGACAGGAGGATCACTATGAGTCTGAGCTGCGTAATGAGACCCTGTACCAAATAGATAAATGATTTAAAAATAAAAAATATATGGTAATTGGGCATTGTGGCACATGTCTGCAATCCTAGCACTTTGGAAAACTGAGACATGAGTATCACAGGCTCAGGCCCAGCCTGGGCAATAGCAAGATCCTGTCTCAGAATTAAAATGGGGTACAGCACTTCGGGGTGAACACCTTGAGTTCAATCCCCAGTACTGTGCAGGGAAGGGAAGCTGGGAGTATAGCTTAATGATGGAGCATTAGTCTGGCATGCATGAGACCCTGGGGCAAGCCCCAGCATCAAAAAACTGAAAAAGACTGCATAGTACTTGTGATAATAATAGGCTGATTTAAACTTACTGAATGTTTGCTGGGCATTAGTCATTACGTTGAAAATTTAGGGCCAGCAAGATAGCTCAGCAGACTAAGTACCTGCTTTAGGCAAGCACAGAAACTGGGGTTCAATCCCTGGTACCATTTGCTGCACCAGCCCTGTCCCCTCCCAGGGGGAGGGGGCATGCTAAGCTGGCCACTGAGACTGGGTATGGTGGCACACACTTGTAATCCCAGCACTGGGGAGGCTGAACACAGGAAGATCACTACAAGTCCGAATTGCATAGTAAGACACTGTACCAAATACATATAAAAGAAAAAGAAAGTTAAATTTTCATAGCAGCTATGTAATGTATTTCCCACGATTTGTGTCCATTTTTCAGATTAGTTACTAAATAGATTATAAAACTTAACCTGTTCGCTGCTAAGAATTGGTACATTTATTTATTCATTCATTCATTCATTCATTTATTTATTTTGTGGTGCCAGGGATTGAACTCGGGACCCTGCACTTGCCAGGCAGGCGCTTACTCTACTGACCTATCTCTCCAGCCCAGAATTGGTACTTTATTGATGCAGAATCTAAACACTTTAGTTTTTTCAGAAGTGGAAGTGAAAATACGAAGAAATTGAACCCTACAAAATCTTTAGCTTCCTTTATGTCTAGTTTATAATTAGATGTTGGTGCTGCTTTATATCGGAAGTGAGATTCTGAGTCTGAAAAATCCTTTAAAGTTCAAGAAGATGTTGTGACAGCCTCTCTTAGTACAGCATTGTTAGTGGGGACCTGAACTTGCCATTTGAGAATTTCTTCACTTAAACCAAAGCCTCTTGTCACATTAACTTGCCAAGACATATTACGGTAGTGTTTTTATATTTACAGAATTCTCTTTATTGAATATTGAATATTTTGAAAATGGTTTGATATGAAGCTATAGTTTTTACAGCCAAAGGAATCTTATGCTTCTTCCTCTCCAACAGTTATTTCACATAGACTGCATTTTGTTGAGACCTACACTCCTGCCTCTCACCTGATAGATGACACTGTCCTTCCTCTGGGGAAAGACAAAAGCTAACACTCCCTTAACATGTAAACCCCCTGCATGTTGGCCGCCTTTGCCTTGACTGAGGGGACCCTCACCCAGTGAGCTCCCTCTGTCCTCGTGCTAACCCCCACTCCAGGGGAGTGGGGAGAGAGCATTGTTGAACTGCTACTGTGTACTTCAGCGGATCCATGACACTGGACTGTGGTGCCGTTTTGTAGGTAGTCATGACCAGGCAGAAGAAGACCACGGATCAGGGACAAACAGAAAGACAGCGTCTGCCTTGGAGGACTCGACTTTCCTACTGTCGAAATGACAAGTACTGAGATTAAACAAGCCCTTCCTGTAGGCAGGGTTCCATACCTTGCACTCCCCATCATCCCTCCCTACTTTACCAAAGAGCTGAGGCTCTGAGAAGTGAATGACTCCCCAGTCTACACAGCTCCAAAGAAGCAGAGCCAGGCAGGAGCCCTGCTGCTCTGGAGCTGCCTCGGCGTTTGGCAGGATGCTGGTGCTTTAGCCCTATAATGTCCTGAGGAAATGCCTTCGCTCTGGAACTTGTGTGACCATTCTTGTCTTAATAATTTCCAAATCAGCAACTCCAAGTTCCAGATGCTTCACAAGACCTCAGATGTGTTCCCAACTCACCTCAGTTTCCCCTTTTCCCTCCCTCCAGCTGGAGGCCGTTCTTGGGCTTGCCTGCCTACACAGCGGCACCACTGCCAGGTTGTGTTTTGGCCTCCACTTTACTGGCTGTCCAGCCTCTGCTTCCTTCCCTCCTGACTCCTCAGTTCTCAAGCGCTCTGCTGGACCCTTAGTCCAGACTGCTCGGTCTTACCCTCCGGTCCGTCTGTGGCCACGGCAGTGTGCATCCTAACATACAAGCCTGAACGGCTCGTTTCCCTGAACTCGCCTGTACTGCCATGGAGATACAGCCCAGGTCCCCAGTGCATGGCAGGAAGCTGGATTCCCAGCTGCTTGGAGGCTGAGGTAGGCACATCAAGAGTTTGAGGCTAACCTGGGCAACGTAGCAAGACCCCACCTCAAAATATAATAATTGAAATGGTGTTGATAATCTAATGTACTGAAATAATATGTAAATTAAAAATTTTCAGATTTGAATTAGCTTTTTTTGCAGTACTGGGGATCAAACCAGAGCCTCATTTGTGCTAGGCAGGTGTTGTACTATCAAACTGTCTCAGTTACTTTTCTCTTGTTGCTAGGACAAAATACCTTCACACACACACCCCCCCAAAAAAAAAAAAAAAACTATGAAAGTAAAGGTTTATTTAGCTTATAGTTAGTGGAGGTTTCAGGCCATACTCGGCTGGTTCCAAGGCACAGTGGCTCATGGCAGAGGGCAGCCATTCATGGCAGCAGAAAACAACGAGGAACAGAGGCTGTGACAGCTAGAAAGCCCCTCCCTTCCTTATAATGCATTCAGACTGTCCACTCCAGGGCAGGTGTAGCTCTCACACCCATAAACCTGGGGTTGGATCATGAATGAAGCATAAACTCTAGAAGCCCACCCAAGTGACTACTTAAAGCTTTGGGGAGACAACTAGATACAAACCGTAATAAAAACTGCCCAGCGTTGCCACACACACACACACACACACACACACACACACACACACATCTTTTTCAAAATTTTATTTTGTGACAGGGTCTCACTAGCTTTCTCAACCTTGCAGTGCACCTCAGCCTTCCAGGTAGCTGAGATTGTAGGCATGTGGTTCCACACCCAGCAGTGTTTTACTTAATCTTAAAGATTCTGTGAAGAGGAGGGGAGTTATACTATTCAGTGATTAGATGTGCTTTCTGATATTTGGGACCCAGGCCCTGAGATACCATCCCAGCTTTTTATCAGGAACAGTAAAAATATATAAATGACCTGAGTGAGGTGCCCTAGAGCACACCTGCAATCGCAGCTACTTGGAAGCTTGAGGTAGAAGGATTATAAGTTTGAGGCCTGGGCCATTTAGCAAGACACTGACAGAAAATAAAAAGAATTCTTTTGGTTGATGGAAAAGGTTGGTTACATTGGTTTCTCAAGATTTCTCTCGCTGGTTTGATTTGTTCTTCAGTCCGCTCCCTCTGGACATAAACATCTGACAGTGGAAGAACTGTTTGGAACCTCTTTGCCGAAAGAACCACCAGCAGTTCTGGGTGTGGATTCCGAGGAAATAGAGAAGCTCCCAGGAGATGCCTCCCAGAAAGAGGCCAGCTCGTTCCTGCCACTTCCCTTTGAACCTTCCGGAGAAGCCGCTCCGCTGGAAAGCCTGGGTGTCCGCTCCGCGGCACACCACACAGTCCAGCCCGAAGTCTCCACCGCAGTGCTCATCACCCCAGCTTCAATCACGCAGTCCGGTGAAAGGCATGCCCCAAGCTACACGATCCCGCTGAGCCCAGTTCTCAGCCCCACTCTGCCGCCTGAAGCTGCTACCACGCAGGTTGCCCCTGGTTTACCTCGAAATAGCACCATGATGCCCGCAGTAAAAACCACACCTAGGCAGAGGTCTCCACTCTTGAACCAGCCAGTCCCAGAGCTCAGCCACAGTGGTCTCGTTGCCAGCCAGAGCCCCTTCAGAGCCCCACTGAGTATGACGAACGCAGCGGGCGCATCCCTTCCGAGCATGGATCTACTCCAGAAACTCAGGTTGACCCCACAGCACGACCAAACACAGACACAGAATCTCGGGAAAGGCACGGGAGCACCCAGCTTTCCTCCAGCAGGCGGCCAGCTGGCCACGCCCGAGAGCTTCATCGAGCTTCCCTCAAAGACAGCAGTAGCCAGAGCAGTGGCCTCAGCCTCCCTGAGCAACATGGTGCTCGCTCCCCTTCAGGTAACGGCAGAAGGGTGTGGGTGGGATAAAACGATAAAGCCTTGCTTTTGTGAAGAGTTTCTCTTTTGGAGTACATTATGAGTAGAAGAAAAGGGTGCTTATTACCTTTCAGTCATCATGAGAGATACCTGATAAAATCAGCTGAAAGAAAGATTAACTTTGACTTGTAGTTTGAGGTTTCCGTCCATGGTCAGCCAGCCCAGTGCCTCCTGAGCCTGCGGTGAGACAGCACCATGGTAGGAGGGTATGATAGAGCATAGGTGGTCACCTCAGGCTGTTGAGCAAAGAACAGGAACAGAGGGGCAGACAGGAGCCACCCCTGCAGGGCACACCACTGGGAACTGCCAGGCTTGCTCCCATGAGGCTCCCCTACAGTTTCCAACATCTCCAGTAGTTCATTCAGCTCAGTGGACTAAGTACCTGCTCAGGCAAGTGTCCGGACCCAGGTTCGATCGCTGTGCCCCTGGGGGCACTGACCCAGCCAGCGTGATGGTGCACATCGATAGAGACAAGAGGATCACTATGAGTCCGCACTGCATAGTGAGACCCTGTACCAAATACGTTAAAGAAAAAATAAAAAGTAGTTCATTCAGTTGTGAACCCATTAGTGGATTAGTCCATTGATAAGATTAGAACCATCACAGTCTAGTCACTCCACACAGCCCACCTCGGAAATTTCTACAGTGGGGACCACGCCTTCAGCATGAGCCTCCAGAGGAATTTTAGATCCAAATCAGGATAAGACAGTAAGAAACTCTGTATTATAATTGCTAAGTGGTTCGGCTCAGTTTGCTTAAGGTTATTTCTACCGATGAAAGCTAAGAAACTGTTTTCCTATCCAGGTATCCATTTTAGGTTTGTCTTTGTCTGACATAAGTCCTTCTCTTTTGTCTCAAAACCATAGATTCCAGATATTCCAAGCACAGGGCTTTCCAGCTTAAGTGCCTGCCTCTGCCAGCAGTGCCGTAAGAGCATCCCAGATGCAAAACCAGGGGGTCCAGCAAAGCTTCCTAAGAAGCTAATGCTTAGCTGCAGCCTAAGACTCAGGTTAGCCACAGCTGTCCAGTGCTGGGAACGTTATTTGAACCAAGACTAGCATATGCAGCGTGACGAGTGTTCAGCAGCCTGGGCAGCTGAAGATTTAGCGAGAGTGTCAGAATTGAAAGACTGGGGATGCAGCCCAATGTGACAGCCCGGGAAGGTGAGGGCACCCACTGTGTGCTGTTCTGGGGCAGGAGGTTGTGAGAGGTGGCCCTTCCCGTTAAAATTGAGCCCTCTTTCCCTGTACTAGTCCCTTGTTATGCCTGGCATGTGGGTGAAACCATACCTGCAGTTCCTGTGTCACCCCTTACTGTGGTGATGGTTCAGTGACTGGGATCTCTGCTCTCGTGTCAGTAGGCAAGAGCTGCCCCACATCTGGTGGGGGTTTGAAGGGCTCCTCGTCTAAGCACCCCATTTGCCCTGCTGTTGGGCAAAGTCACCACCTTCCACCACTCCTCATAGTATCTGTTAAGCCTTTCTGTCAAAGTTCTGCTTTGAACTGGAAATAACACGAGGAATTCTTTTATGGAGCAAACTGTCTGCAGGTGGTGCTGTCTAAGAAAAGGGCACCTGTGTACAGGTTCAAGTCTGTCACTGGGCCTGGCTGGGATCACAGTGGCTTGAGGTGTAGGAGTTATTTCAGCAGCTGCAGGCCTGTGCAGCAGTGGGGATCTTGACAGGAACCTCAAAGGGATGTGAGGCCCCTGCCTTGTCCCTCCGGAGTTCCCAGAGATGGCCTTGGGGGTGTAGCCAAGGGAATAGCCCCTCAGCCAGGTCAGAAGAAATAGCATATGCAGAACCCTGGACAGGAGAACGCATCTGTCGAGCTCTGAAAACTACAGTAGGAGTGCTGACCACAGAGCTCAGGGTGGGGTTTGTTTACCAGGAGCAAGGTCCTGGGTTTAGTCCCCACTAAAAAACAAAACCAAAAGCTGTAGTGAGATGGACATGTGGAAAGGGAGCGAGAGAGCCAGTACTCGGTGGTGAGTGGAGCTGGAGGTTGGGCTTAAGGGATTTGAGTTTGATTCTCAGCCCTGGGAAGTTTCATGTGTTGAGAGGAAAGAACAGGCTTCAGAGAAAGGCTGTGCAGCAACCCACAGAACCCGAGTCAGGCTGAAGTCGGAGAACCTGGACAGGTAGGTGGGGAAATAGAGCAAGCAGAGCTTTGTCCTTCACCGTGATGCATGGATTTGCAGTTTGCAAATGAGAAAATCAACTAAGTTCAAGTGACTCAGACAGTCACAGACCTGAAAGGGAATAGAACCTGCTACTCTCAAATAGTAGCAATTAGCCGGACGTGGTAGTGCACGCCTCAAATGCCAGCACTCAGGAGGCTGAGGCAGGAGGATCACTGTGAGTTTGAGGCCAGCCTGTGCTACATTGTGAGACCCTGCCTCAAAAAGTAGTGGTTGCCGTTAGGATATTAGTCTTGTGCCCTTGAATGATAATAGATACAATTCCAAATCTTAACATGTTGCAAACTATTATGTAGATAAACCATCAGATTTACTGTATACTGCAGCCATGGCACTCTGGGAGACTGAAATACAAAATTGTAAAAGGGCTGGGATGTAGCTCAGTGACAAGCCCTGAGCCACCCCCCAAGAGGGAAGGAGGGGCAGGAGCGCGTGAGGAGGTGAGCACTGGAGACGCTGAATTGTTGTTTAGCTCGTGGGGTGCTTTCATCCCTCTGATGAGTTGTGTAGAAAAAAAACTTCATGCCCTGATTCCATCAGTGTCATTTTCTAGCCTCTTCTGCAGTATAAAAAAACAAAACGTGTTCAGTTTTCGTGTCCTTAAGCAGTTCCCACCACTGCCTGAGTTCTGAAGGCACAGCCAGCAAGTCCTGGCCCAGGTCCTCTCCAGATTCTGGCCTCTGTTGTGACACCCTGCTCCGTGTGCGTGCTGGCAGGGGTCAGTCACTTACCTGCAGTTTTTCATTTATGTGGCAGTAGCTAAATTTTAGGACCTGTACTTTATTGGGCTCTCTCAGGTTTTACTCTTCAGGTTCTTTCTCTCCATCATGTGAAGACACACAACGGGCGTATGGCCATGTGCCTGTGACAACCACTGTTTAATGCCACCGGGCCGGGGGAGGGTGTTGATCAGCTGTAGAGCCCATGTCTGGGGCCCCAAGTCTGATTCCTCAGCGCAAAAAAAAAAAAAAAACACGCAACCAAGATCTGTCATCTGTACCAGCAGCAAAACTGGGTTGTCCTTGGCTGTTAGGAGAAACTCAGGTTTCAACTTTTTCTTTAGAGACACCAGCTCAGCTCATGTTTCTTTCCTCAAGGAAATTGAGGAGGGAGGCTGCCCAGAGCCCGCGGGCCGGGGTACAGTGACTGGTACCATGGTCAGAAGTTCTGTCATTCTTGTCCCTCAACAGCCCAGGAATTGGTTAATATCTAAACTGTTCCTTATCACTTGCCTAGATTTTTCACTAGTAACCAGGAAATTTTAATTGAAATGTGCTATATATGTTTACCTTTTCTTAAACATTTCAGTCTATGCAGCAAAACCAAGATCCTGAAGTATTTGCCCAGCCTAAGGTGTTACCCAGTGCTATCTCGGTAAGAACTT